CTTCTCTATCCCATAGGGTCACTGTGAGTTGAAATAAATGTGGTGCCAGTGAGTTCTGTTTTGAAGAACATTGACCTGTAAGGGGAGTTCATTTCTAGACTTGAAGTGGGGTGACTAAGGGCCTACATCTTGGGGGTTCCACCAGGCTCTGTACGACCAGTAAACTTGACTGTGTGTGTGTGTGATTTTACATGTTTTCGCGCACTTCTTATTTTGCCCAGGTCTGTCGGCTCTTTATGTTGACACCATCCACACATGCACAGCCTGTGAGCTGCTTCTTTCTGCTCTTCTGCCAGTCGGAGTGGTAAGAACAGTGGCACTGCTCACCAGACCTGTCTCTCCTGAAGCGTCGTGTTCTGCCCCCACGGAGGCACCAGGAGGGAGACTGCAAACGAAGGGGATTGCCTACAGTGACACTAGCCTTTCAGATGTGGGGATGTTACCCGCTGTCCATCAGCCTTTCCGTTTCTTTGTCCCTTTCTTCTAGAAGCAGCATTTTCACACTGCAGCTTTCTCGTTTCTTTTCGCTCTGCAATATCCCTGAGAGTGCTAAGGTTATTACGTCTATAACCTAGATTGTGTCAAATTGTGGGTACATCCCAAGTGCAGCCATGCATGGGTATTAATAGGACATTGCAAAAGAGTTCATAAAGATATCTTCAGAAGTGTAATGCTTTCAGAATGTATCCAGTTAGCATCACTGAACTTAAATTCCACTTGACCTATTCATCATAATGAATTTTGCTTTTGAAGTAGTGTTCCATTGAAGTCACCTCTCAGCCTGGGCCTGCTTCTCTGTGTGGTAGTGTTGGTTGTGTTATTGTTTCTTTTTTTAAAAACCTTACTATAGACATCCATTTACATACATTGGTTAGAAAACAAATAAGAAAATTTTAAAACTTTATATTGAATTTACTGCCCCATGAAGCTTAATGCATGTTTAAACTCTCAAGTGTCTTGCCAGAGAAAGAAAGAAAGATCCAAGAACTAGTGTACGACTAGAATTAGAGCTGAAATAATTACTTGTTAAGCAAAAGGCTGGGATAAATCCTTCATCATAAACTTTTTTTCAAAACCTGGATCTTGAACATTAATTATTCTCAGTTCTCATGCTGAACTTTATTGGACTTTGATCTTCATAGCTTTTGAGAAGGCATTTTAATAACTTTTGAAATGTAGTTGACTTAGAGTATTAATCTGTGTTTTAGACCTACGCAGGCTTGAAGGGACTCAGTTGGCAATCAGTTGTAAAGAGCTTGGTTGCTAACTGAAAGGTCAGGGTTCAAACCCACGAGTCTACTCGCTCTGGCAGTCTGCGCTCGTGAAGATTACACCCTGGAACACTGAGGGGGCCGTTTCCCGTGTGGGAGGGTTACGTTGAGTAGAATGGACTTGGTGTGCAGGACTGGATTTGAAGGTTTGTTTTACATAAACGGACACTTTGACAACAACTGTGGGCTAGTTTGTAGAGCTGCTCTCGTGGTCGGATTGCATTCTAGAGCGAGCAATACTAAGAATTTCCCTATAGACTTTTCCTTATTCTAGTCTCCTATGAAAAGGAAGATACGTTAACTTTGTTTTCATTCTTGTTACTGGCTTTTACATGTTTGGATTCTGATGTTCTTTAAATATTTAAACACATGTTCTTGTTTAATCTTACATTACTGCTTTTCTGACTGAACTGTTTCTCTGCCTTAACCTATAGATGATACAGCTGCCTTCGATTAGTGTAGTCAAAGTAACATTTAGTTTCCCTCTCCCCCACCCCCTCCTATGCCAAATCTGTGTTCTTCTGTTTGCCTCCTGACTTGATAGGAAAAATGGAGTGAGCAAACAAGCAGCGCTTGGTACCTGTGTCACTCAGTGGCGTTCCCTGCCTTTCCCCCTGTATTAGTCTAGGTACTTTAGAGA